TGTGTATCCGCTACCCCAATTAAGGGTGTTAATGTGTGAGGAGAGTGTGCATGTTGAGAAAGTGTGAAATGTGTGTTTGTGTGTGTGTGTGTGTGTGTCAGTGCTAATACAGCAGTGAGAGCCTTGTGGATAGTCTCTCTCTCTCTTTTTCTCTCACACACACATTCATCAATCGTCATCATTATACAAAAAAATAAATAAAAAAACATTGATAGGAAGCTTACACTATACACTATACAAGAATATTAGAAAAAGGGAGAGTAAAAGGAGCAGTGATGTTATGGTGCAGAGAATTTACTACACACACACACACACACACACACACACACACAGGCACACACAGACAGACAATAGTCTTACACAGAATGCACAGAGCACACTCCTTCCAACCATTTCTGCAAAGCTGTCTCCTGCTTAATTGTAGTCGCCGGTAATAGCTGCAGGGTCTCTCTAAGAAGCTTTGTCATGGGAAATAAAACACAGCAGAGTAAGAATAAACTTCCTGCCTCCACAGGAAGCTGCTGTTGCTATGGTAAAGCTAATTTAAAAGGCCAGTTATGGAAACGCAAAACACAATGGCCTGGTTTCAGAGACGGTATCTATTTGTATGTACTGGTATAATAAATGGATACATAGGTACACTAATAGATGATTATTACGCACAGGGAGAGAGACTTAACATATCAGTGTATCGCTGTGTGTGGTGGGTGTCGTTCTCCATTCTAATGTTTTTAATATCTCCACCTGGTTTTAACACCTTGTCAGAGGATTAGCTCCAGAGCTGTGAGATACCAGCTACTAAATCACCAGTGCCCTATTTTCTTAGCTTGTAATGAATAGCCTTTAATATCGTTACCCTATAAAAATTAAGACTGCTCTCCCACTGGCACTTAATCCTATAGGATTTAGTGCAAACAAACACTCGTCCACACACACACACACACACACACACATAAAGGGAACCACACCTACACATACATGTTTGTAGTCAGCTCCTCATGTTCGTTGTGTTAACACACATATGAAAAATCATATTAGTGATACTAAAGATGAACATTCATAGACACACAAATCACATCACATCACATCACGCAGCTTACGAGCCTTAAACAATAATATGTTGTCTGTGTGTGTATGACAAGGAGAGATTGCGTGTGTGTGAGTGTGTGTGTGTGTGTGTGTGTGTGTGTGTGTGTGTGTGTGTGTGTGTTTGTGCGTGCGTGCGTGCGTGCATGCGCGTGCGTGTGTGTGCGTGTGTGCGTGCGTGTGTGTGTGTGGAGGGGGGGAAGGAAAGGGTGTGCAAGACTGTGTGTATGTCCAGCATTTGATATTCTGCATTCACTCGCATTCGCCGGTTCACTAGTTTGATGCATGTGAAAGCTGGTTGTCATTCATTGTCTTTTTTTTTTTTTTTTACTCTTTTTTTCTTCTCATATTATTCCTCAGTTTGCATTTAAATCCTCAAACACAACATGTGGGCTTCCTCACCAGCAGAAACAGTTTTTAACATGAGCTGATTCACAGAAAGATTTTAATAAATCAAATAAGTTATATGCAGTATGGACGTCTCTGTTGTCAAGCAGTTTTTTAGATATACAGGTATGTGTAAACCTAGACACTTGGACATGAACCTGAGGAAGAGCAACAAAGGAGGGATCTCTCTTCCAGAATGGACAGACGTGCAATCGATGTCATCTGTACAGAGCAGTTCAACAAAGTAGATCAACTGTATGGACAATTGGGATGACAACAGTATAGATTGTAAACATTAACGAAGAATATGATCTGGGAGGACATCGAGCAACTTCCAGGTGCTGCCAACAAACGGGGCCAAAGCCACACGACCTCCTCTCCACCGTGAAGACCTGGAAAGAGGACTGATTAAAAAAAAGAGGCAAAATCAAGCACATCATTCACAAGTCCAGAAGAAGGAAACCAACCACACAGAAGGAGATACAGACAAGCAGGAGGCTGGCACTCCCCGAGGATGATGATCCAGATCTAAAACATCAGGAATGAGGCATCGACAGCCAAGAGAGGGAGGAGGGTCCCAAGAGGAGCCTCAGTGAAAAGAGATGACGGGGAGTAGAGTATCGGGGGAAAGAGAGAGAGAGAGAGACGGAGAGACAGAATGTGAAGGAGAGAGAGAGCACAGCCTGGACACGCTTGTATTTGAGGGAATAAACAGAGGGTTAGAGAGATGCAGTTGTTATCAGAAAGTTTACAGTAATCGTATCTGCAGGACAACATGAACTATATAACAGGTATCAGACCTGAAGTAATCAAAGAATAAATCACTAACTGAAGGTTAAGGCATAAAGATGAGTTTTAAGATGCATTTTCCTCAACAGAGGCAGACAGTCTGATATCAACAGGGAGGTTGTTCCAGCTGAAGGGGGCCTGATAAGAAAAGGTTCTGCAGCCTGAAACTCTGGGAACAGACAGGAGCCCTGCATTCTGAGATCGCAGAGCACAGGATGAAATATATGGTTTAAGGAGATCAGACAGGAATGAGCAGGGCTGCCCATTTAGAATTTTGTAAGTCATCAAAAGCACCTTAAAGTCTGATCTGAAATGGATAGGAAGTCATTGATGTAATGTGGCCAGATTTTCTGGGCTTGGTTAAAATTCTTGCAGCAGCAGTCTGGGCCATTTGAAGACTTTTAGTACAAGCATTTAGCAGGCCAGAAAATAAAATATGCAATAATCCAGTCTGGGTGACACAAAAGTGTGAATTAGGCATCAGGTCTCAGCATCTGCCATAGACAGAAAAGGCTGAATTTCAGCTATTTTACGTGTATGGAAAAGATCAACAGAGAGGGCAGGATCAAATGTAACACTAAGGATCTTGACTGTCATACTTTGAGAAATCATACAGTTGTTAAGGTTTTCACTTACTTGATCAAATTGTGTCTATGTTGGGCCAGGCCAATGACCAGCATCTTACTTTTATCTGAATTTAGGAGCAAGACATTTTTTTGACAGCAGATAAACAGACCTCTAATTAGACAGTTTGAGGAGGGCCATCAGCTTTTACAGGAAGATACAGCAGACTATCATCAGTGTAAAAGTTGAAATTCATTTCATGACTACGTATAATTTGGACAAGAAGTGAAATATGAAGAGAGAAAAGTAGAGGGCAAAGAACAGAGCCCTGGAGTACTCCATAATTCACATTAAAAAATATTGATGTGGTATTTATTGTAGGAGACACATTGTTTTCCTTCATATAAGTAGGACTTTATGTCCGGAGTTTTGAGTGCCAGGCCAGATTGGTTTGGTTTCCCAATCACTCTAGGAGTATACAATGATCTGTGGTATTGGAAGCTGCACTGATATCGAGTAAGAGAAACACAAAGGTAGAATCTGAATCCATAGAGAGCAGAAGATCATTTACCACTTTAGCAAGTGCACTTTCAGTGGAGTGACAGGCCCTGAAAGCAGATTGAAAAGGTTTTAAAAGATTACTGCTAAGCTACTGAGACACAACTCTTTCCAGTACTTTTGAGATGAATGGAAGGTTAGAGGCTGGGCGGTAATTACTTGGAGATCCTGGATCAAGGTTTGGTTTCTCAAGTAACCACAGCAGTTTTAAAGCTGGTGTGGATGATGTCAGATGTAAATGGTAAATTAACAATATTTAGTATTATAGGTCTCCAGCTGGTCAGAGTCTTTAGCTGGTAGAAGATCGAGGAGGCAGGTAGTAGGTTTCGACAATAACTTAGACAATGATTCCAGAGATGTAGTCTTAATTTCTTTTGTGTATGTGTATGTATGCTATACTCATAGATAAAAGTGGATCTATTCATGAGCTAAGTGTTAGGAGACGGAAAGCCATTTCCTCTCCCTCAGCACTGTGATAGGGCTAAATGAATCATCAATGAATCTGCAATGACTGTTGACATTGATTTACTCTCTGCTGTCATATCCCTCTGTGTGTGTTTGATTGTGAGAGGTGATTGCTATCAGTGAGCTAGGCGTTCTCTTATGCAGACAAGTGAGTTTACGATAAGAGCATTTGCTTTTGCAGGGCAAAGAGAGAGCGAGAGACTAATGGGCCTTTGGGGCTAGAAAACAACAAGCATTAAATACATGTATCTGTGAGTTGTGAGATGATGTTATGACATGGGGGTGATTTAGCCGTCTGTGGGAATGATTGTATAGCCAAAAGCTGTTTGTCCAATCAAACTTTCATGCAATAAACACATTCAATTAATATTTATTTCCTACTAGTGCAAATGCTGCATGTTAACTAAATCAAAACAGGCATCTATAGTCTGTAGTGCATCAGACAATATGATAATCATTTTATTTCTTCAATCCGGTGTTGGGCTTGTTACTCTTTTAACTCTTTACTCTTTTCAAGTGTAATATTAGTACTTTATTTATTACTCCCTGCCCACTGTATTTTTTACTCTACTGGTTATACTACTTTTCTGTTAAACTCCACAAAATTGGTCCAGTCCTCCTCAAAATTCAGGCTTCGCATATGCGCCTCTGTGTGAATGTCAGGGTGGCTAATCGCTAAGTGCTGCTAAGGCCTTAAACTAGCAGCAGAGCTTGGCAGCACAACTGGCTCAAACGGATGACGACACACAATCGCATTTTTATCAGTAAACAAATGCACATGTTTTTTTTCTTCTACCTTTGGGTCTTTTGTTGCCTGTGACTGGTAATTTTAAAATGAAAGTTAAAATCCAGTTTTGGTTGTTTAGCCATTGTAGGGCTGCTCTAATCTCAGTGTCAACTCCTGTTGTCTTTCAGATCTCGGCTGGGTTGCCATGACGAGCGAGGAGTGTCCTGTGCCGCTGGGGAGCATTTCCTCAGCAGTGCCAGGGCAGAGCGAGGAATACGGCTCGGCGCAGGCTGATGACATCATCGAGGAAGTGGGTCCAGGTGATGATGTCAGCATCGGCAGTGACCTAAGCACTATTGTGGTGCCCTTCCCAGAACTGGCACCCGTGGTCTTTTTCTGCCTTAAGCAGACCACCTGTCCTCGCAGCTGGTGCATCCGTATGGTCTCCAGCCCATATCCTTTCATTCACTGCTAAAAGTGACTCCTTTAACCTTAAAGATAACCTTTACTTTATCCCTTAATTTTCATCAATCAGCTCAATTAGTCACCTGTCCTCATCTGTTATCAAAAACATCAGCGCTTCCCTCAGTGGTTTTTAAAGTCCCTAAGCTTCATTAATCCCCCTCTTCTTTAAATCACTCCCATCATTCTTAACGTCTTCTGTTCGTTGGTGCACCTTTCATGCAGCATTCATTCCCTCTCACTCCTCCACCTTCTCCTTTCATCTCCTTATCCAACACTGGTTCTCCTTTCCCTCTATATCCAGCTCTTTCTTTTTTTATAGAGCCTTTTTTCTGCATATCCATCTCCCTGACTCTTTGCACAGTCACAATTTATCTTCTTTGTGATATCTTCTGTCTCTGTTTTGTGTTCTTTTGATACATTTTCATCCATCTTGACTCTGACCCCCCCCCCCAATCCACCCTCGCTCCTTTATCTAGTGGATTTCCTACCACAGTGCAGCAGACATCCCAGAATCTTCTCAAAGTAAGTGTTTTTGACATCCTTATACAACCACGACTGCAGTGATCAGCATTTTACTGCTTGAACAATTGAACGTGCACATTTGTATGTGTGTGCCTGTGTGTGTATGTGTATGGTTTTTGCCTGTGTCCAGAACAAGCAGTTGTCTGTTTGCTGACTAAACTGACAGTGGCAGTGGGACTCAGGATGATCCTTTCACATCAGGGACAGACAAGACCACACTGCTGCATAAATGTGTGTGCGTGTGTGTGTGTTTTCAGCACCTTTTCATTCACTGCCATTAAGATAATGGTGCATTTTTAAAAGGTATTTTTCACTTTAGATGACGTTATGGAGCACATATCTTTTGAACAACTCTGCTCTGCAAACTGTTTCTTTTAATATAAATCAAGCGTGGGTGTAGCGTTGGATTTTCATTCAACAATATCCAGGTTATGTTGTTTTTCTCTCTAATATGCATTTCCACTGTCATCAGCTACATCGAGAGCCCATGACCCCAGAGTCATACTTACAAATTAAACAAAATATATTGCTGGTTTGTTGTATGTTGTACAGTTTCAATAACACAGTAATGAATGGGAAATGATCTGGTTTCTATTTTACACTACTGGTTTCTTGTCATACTTTGTTTAGCAGTAATTATATACTGTTATGTAGTTGAAGAATTTAAGAAATGAACGAAATACTCTATGCACATTTTTCTTCTTTTTTTCTTCTTTTTTTAATATAACTTTAAAAATTGTTAATCATTAGTTTGATTTAGTTCGATGTATGGAAGGGTTTGAATTGATGAACTCAAAGTTTACACCAAAACCCAAATGTCAGACCAAGACAGATTGCAGTGATGGTGAGTGACCAGAAAAATCAGGAGGGCAGGGAGAGTGTATCCAGTCAGATATACAAAAACTGGACAGCGAGACTTTCTGTTTGCCTTTCAGACTCCATCTTTGATGTTGGAGGGAAAAATGGTTTCAGAAGGATTTTACACTGCTTACTAATGGCTGAGCTCTGCTACTCTCAGTTGGCCCCACGCCACAGGGTACAAACATGCACACACTCTCCCCACACATACACTCCAAATCTTATTTCACATCGCCTGAGCTTCTATCGCAGCTCAATGGTTGCCGGACACCCATGGTGGCTGAAACTGTAAGCATGTTATAACCCAGAGAGACACATCAGTGTGTGTGTGTGTGAGAGAGAGAGAGAAAGAGAATGTGTGAGAAAAATATAAAACAAGTGTGAGAAAGGTGAAGAGGACTGAGCGTGTTTGTGGAGGTTTGAGGGAAGGCTGTTACTGCTGTAGTTGAGGTGAGTTTCCTTTGGTGGAATCAGCTGGAGAGCCAAGAAGTCACACGCGCGCACACGCACGCACGCCTCAGTCACCATGGTGGCTTGTGAGGTGTTACTTTTGCCTACTGTGACCGTGTGAGTATAGACAATTTTGAAGCTTGCTGAAGCGCGAGTGGGATGGCAGTATATTCACAGGCTTTATGCCTTCACTTAAGTAGGACTAGGAGTGTGTGTGTGTGTGTGTGTGTGTGTGTGTGTGTGTGTGTGTGTGTGTGTGTGTGTGTGTGTGTGTGTGTGACTTAAACTGGAGCAAGAGTTTGTTTTTTTTGACGGTTGTTGCGCCGGAACAATGTTTTGTACCTGTGTGTGTGTGTGTGTGTGTATGTATGTATAGGGGGGCAATAAGTAGTTGTTTCACCATCTCTTTTTAGATCAATAATCCTGTCCACCACTCAGCAGCTGGGGAAGGCCTTCAGTGACATGCACACATGTGCGCACACACACACACACACACACGCACATACACACACTGGCATACAATGATGTTCTCCCACGCTTGCCTGCAGCAGAGCACCCAGAGCACCTCTCTATATTGCACCCCACACACTTCTTCTACCTCTCTCTATTGTTCTTGCTCTTCAGAGTGCACACTTACACTCTGTACATATCATACAATATAGATAAACCCTATTCCTTCTCTCGTTGTTGAAACTAGCTGGTAGGAGATACTACTAGCAGGTAATTCTTCCACCTTCTCAATGTTAAATCTTACCCGTTTAAAGAATATGTGTTATTACTATTATTGGTCCCTTGAGCTCCTCACTTCCTCATTGTCTCCTCTACTGGACTGCAGTGAATTTAACAGGCAAAATAATCAGAGGGGTCATAGCTGTCACTTGGTCATTGTACTGAATGGAAAGAAAAGACTATAATTGCGCGTGCACAGTGGATTATGTCCAGCCAGTCGGCTGCATTGTGTCTCAGTTACGTATAGGGAAGATTAACTCTCATTTCCCGCTTTATTCTTCAGATCATGAAGAGAACATGTCAGGTCAGTCACACTCCGCAATCAGCTGCATTCAGTGAAGCCTGACCTGTCAACACTTACTCATGCTGGAAACACAGGGAAGGGTAGATAGCAGTTTATAGCAACTGTCATGTACTGACTTATCTGAAGGTACGATATCTTCTGTGGAGTTTAAAGCTTCGAGCTTTTGAATATTTTATGTTTCATCATATGGTGGAAATCTATGATGAAATTCTACATCTGAAAGAGTAATAATTCATTAAATTTGTTACCGTTGCATTGTGGTCTGTCGAACATGTATTTTTTTAAATTATTATTCTTTATTTTTTTTAGGACTTCATCTACTGTTGCGTTTTTTCTGCACCTTTTGTTCCAGATTCCTCAACTATGGTTATAATTGCAAAGTAGCCACATTGAATAGCGAAAATTTTAAGCTGTATTTTCAAAGTGGAAATGCAAGGGTAATTACTTGGAGTATACAGCATTTCTGAAAGGGAGTGTGCTGCGATGTGTGCATGGGTTGTTTAAAAGCAGAGCATTGATTGATGTATGGCTCTGGGCGCCGTCCTTTGTCTTTACACGTCCATCATTACACTTGCATGCGCTTCACTATATTTTCATTCCCCTTCCTCTCTATGTCTTTGTCTCCCCCTGAAATTAGTGTTGTCCGGCTGCTCTCACATGTTTGGCACCTCTCTTGTCATCCTCTTCTCCTGCTGTCAATTCTTTGCAGTTGGTTTCTTTCTCTTTTTTTTCTTTTTTTTTTCCACCAAAGAGCTTGATGCCAGTAACTATGCTTGTCTTCACTTTATCTCACCCTCTCCTCTCCTCCTCTGATTGGCTCCTGTGGTGTTCAAGCAGAGTGACCGGCCTCTGTGGCCCATGATCCTCTCTGGCCCTGACAGCTTGTTATCTCCATGGTGACGGATGGCTGAGGCGTTGCCGTGCCTTGCTCTTAACTACAGCTGAGGATAGAGCACACACCTGGGACACATCACCTTCTCACTTTCTCTCTCTGTGGTTTTCTTACTCTTTTTCTTTCTCTCAACTTTTGCTCTCTGTCTTTCTGCTTTCTGTGGTTCGAGTTGGGAAAGTTGCTGTGGGGCTACATGGTAGATTTTTGTCTCTTCTTTCACAATGACACTTGACGCTGTGAGGTGTGCCACTTGATGGACGTGTGTGTGTGCGTGTGTGTGCAGATGTTGAATAGTTGTTCCCCTTGTTTTGACAAATGTTTTATTAAAGGACATCAAAATTCTGTCTTGAATTCAGAGCGACAACTGTGTCGATGTGTCTTTCTTTTATCTTCTGCTTGTTCTCCTGTCTCTTTTCTGTCATTTCTTCTTTTTTGCTTTCTCTTTTCTTCTCTCTCACAGATTCATTCACTCCGTTCTGCTTGCGTACATCCCTCTCCCTCCTTCCTTAAGATGTCATCATATCCAAAATTTCCATTTATGCCTTCATCTTGTGGAATAATAAGTGTTCCACTTATTTTAATGAGCCTGTGTCAAGTATGAACTGTTGTCCTTTTACCACAGGGAAAGTCTTCCTTATAAAAGAGTTGCAAACATTAATGAGACATACCTCTGTTAAGGATAAATTAAACGTATTAGAACGCTTATACTAATGCTTATGCTTCGAAACATAAATCACAGCGTTAATACAAGTACCAAAACTGATTCTAATGATCCCCACTCTCTCATCACTCTTTCTCACTTTGTCTTTCCTCCCTCCTTCTTTCCTTCCCCTCCTCCACCTCCCTGTCTCTTCTCCCTCAGGTCTAGTCTAAACTCCATTAGTGCCTGTGCTGTCTGAGAGAGGAAGAAGAGATGAGAGGGGAAGAGTAGGGAAGAGATGAAGGGCTTAAAGTGACTCTAATGACTACTGTAGTACCAAGCCTCGGTGCATACACACTCTGTGTGACCTCTTTCACATGCATTACTCTTCCATAGTAGTTAGGTTGCACTGAACATGTGCTTTTTATACGATGGCAGCTCGAAGTTAATGTTTTTTAAATGTTAAAAGATAAAGAGGAATTCTAACAGCGGATGTACAAAGCCACATTATATTACTCACACGTCTCATTTTGTTTGTTCCATTTCCTTTCAATCTAAAATACACCAGCATTTCTTAGAACTGAAGCGATAAA